GTGATGGCACAACCGGGAAAACTAAACAAACCCACCAACTCCCTCACGAACCAGCCAGCACAGGAGTTAGCAAAGCAGCTAATGCAGGAATCAGAGAGAGTGTTAGCAAGTGTACGGGAGTGAATGAGCAAGAGAATAAGGGTGAGAGAGTAATGGCTCTCAGATCCCCTCCTCACCTCTGGTCCGAACATGACGTACTACGGAATGAAATACTCCCTTGGTCAGTTTGGGTCAGGTGCCTGACCTGTGTGTCCCAGCACTGCCTGCAGCAAGACCGCGAGAGCTGGGAATGCAGCTGCAGGATCAGAAGCAGAGAAAGACCTTGAATTCAGTGCAGGCATTCCCCAGCACCAGCTAAGAACTTATCAGTGCTGCTCTCTGCATCCAGGAACGGCTTCCTAGCAGCCATGGTAAAGAGAGTTAACGCTTTCCTGACTGAATCCAGCACATACAGAAAGCACCGATGTTTAAATGAAGTTTTTAACATGTCTTTCCATACATGCTTTTTATCCCTGCTCGTCCATACTCAACACCTTTTGAAGAAGGTTTCAGTAGTGTATGCTAGCATAACTTTAACTCCTACTTCATGTAAAAATTAGTTTAGAAGCAGTTTTCTACCAATGGATTATGTTGCAATACAGAACTGCATGTTTCAAAACCAGCAGTAAGTTAGGTATTACCTAGTATTGTGCTGCAGGGGCAAAACATGTTGGACATCACTGTCCGTTGATAATACTAAAGAGGGCAAACAAAGTGTTTAAAAAACCCAGGCCTTACTGAGAAAACAGGAATCCACTAAAAATTAATTATACGAGCAACACCATGAGTACTGCTTGAACCACTACTCCACACACATCTATGAAATTGTGCGATCCCCGACTTAGATGCACACAATCAAAATCTTGCTATCTAGCAAATTCTGCAACGTATGTGTTTACTGTGGTGTTAGTGTTGACCAAAGTAGATCATTAATTACAGAAGAATCAGCATCCAACACAGCTACAAATATAAAGCAGTCCAAAAAATGAGATATAATCCCTTTTGAAAGAGAAAAAAAATACATTGTTTTTATTCTGGCCTACACAATCAAACCGAGGAAGGTGCACAAACAGGAAGATAGAGTTGAGTAATCTGTAGTATGATTTTTATGTTTACTAGGCTTCAGAGAGTAGGTATATTTACTAGCAATCTACAACAGCCATCTGAGAACATCTGAGAACAAAATTGTGTAGCAGGATGTGAAATCTGCCTGTCCATACCTATCTTCTGAAGTATAGAAAAATACCTTCCCCCCAAGCCTCGGACATAATTTCTTATTCTCATAAATATAAGTATTGGCTTAATTTAAAAATTACTTCCAAACAAGTTTTGCATTTATTTGGCCATTTCATACTTCTCTCTTCCCAGCACAGAGATCTGCTTACGCTCAGCTCTTCTTCTGTAGTTTCCACCTTAAATGGCCGAATAGTTGTATCTCCTTCAGCTACAGGCTTCTGTCCCTTGCCCCACCATCCCTCTTTGAAGGGTAACGTTTCTTCTTTCTTCTTGGACACTAAGAAGTAGATAATGACTGCCCCCAGAACCAGAAACACTTCAAGGAGCATACTGCCTGCAAGAGAAGAACAGAACTCTGGTAAACACAGATAGTTCAGAGACATGCAACTTACCTTTATGAAGAATATGGAGGTTTACTCACCTCTTAAGGATAGGAGATGATGTACACGACGTTGTGTCACTCACAGGACATCAATGCTTCTGTAAAATTACAGAAATAGGATGTTTAAACTACGCTACTCAAACAGGGAGGAATTAGGTATTTCACATAGAAGACATTTAGTGAAAACAGAACTCAAAGCAAGTCAACAAAGATCACATGGCTTGGTAATTAAATACTGCTCTAAATACGCTATGTTGCCTTCCTCAGTGGCCATTGGTTGCAGCTAAATTTCAACAGTAAAGGAGATGACTGTAGATACAATTCAAGCGTAATGCTTTCTCCTCCTCTGAAACTCTAGATTCCCCACAGATTCCAAAGCAATGCCTCTCCTCGATAAGGCTCACATACCTGCTGTCATACATTTGGAAGAAAACCCCCAAAACCGGACGGACACCCAAGACATTGGAAGAAAACCCCCAAAACCGGACACCCAAGACTTACATAGGGAATAAAAAGTGAAGATCATGAGGGCAGCCACCTTGCACGTCCCAATCAGTCTGGGGGAGCAGGGCAGGGATGTATTTACATAACCCTTGAACAGCAGTGCAAAGGGCAGAAGAACCTTCCCTTTCTTTCTCCCTCTGAACTGTTATAGAGAAGATGAAAGATCACATACATGCTCTCCTGGCTCTAAAACACCCTTCCCCAAGCAACAGAATTCTGTCAAAGTGAAGAACAACCTGATTTCACAGCACATCTGCATAAGCTGACTACAGGACTGTTGTGCTTTTGCCAAACTGAACACCTTAACAAAGAAAAAAAATCCATTTTTAATATATTTTACTTGTTTCATACTGCAAGTAGAAAAAATAACTCTTAATAACTAATTAAGACTCTTTAATAACTAATGTTTTCTAGCACCCCTTTAAATATGAGCAATGTTTCTAAGGTGGCTTGGGGAACCATGATTTTAATGCAAAATTTTAAAAAATGTTGTGTTTCAGCCACTCATTTGCTGGGGAATTGTTAAGACAAAGTATTTCAAAACTTGTCTAGGGCAAGCATCATTTATGACACAGAACAGTCTTCATTCTCTCCAAAGCTGGAAGGTTTTGTTGTTTTGGCTGCTGTAGAGTAATTTGATGCTCTGAAATTGCTCAATGAGTCAACAGAATGGACCACATTTATTCCTAGGCCAAAACAGGAATTGTAACACAAGTTAATGGGTGTTCACATGATTATAACAGAAATTAAATTGACCTGTCTTTTATCATAGAATGGTTTGGGTTGGAAGGGACCTTACAGTTCCAACCCCCCTGCCATGGGCAGGGACACCTTCCACTAGACCAGGTTGCTCAAAGCCTCATCCAGCCTGGCCTTGAACCCTTCCAGGGATGGGGCATCCACAGCTTCTCTGGGCAACCTGTTCCAGTGCCTCAAAGTGCCTTTATAAGCGCCTTTATGTGTGACAGGACATGTTTTAGTCAACCTCTTGCCTTTAATTTTCTAACAGCTGACAATAAATACATAAAACTGTCAAAATAAGCACCCACTGAAACATTTGTAGATGTCAGGCACTATGCAGATAGGACGGCAAGCTACAGAAATATGTTGCTTACATATGCAAGTGCTACAGCCTTGAGAAGTGACCTGAAATTCCTTAATCCTCAGAAGCTGGAGAAATGGAAGTGACAGGCACTGAAAGAACTTGATCGGTTTATGTGTTTTCACTCGTCCTTCCATCATTTCTGTTGTTTGAGGAGGTGCTGGTTTTTCTTCATCATGTTCTCTGGAGCACCAGACAACAATTTTTTCCACCCCCAGCATACTCAGGCCGTAACTTACCCCAAAATTAAAAAGTTTGTCCGATTTCAGCTTGCCTCAACACACAAACCGATGCAGCCTAGGAGCTTCCAGAGCGCAATTCAATTTTACTGCAAAGCAGAACTGGAGGGGCTTTCGGAAACCTCAAGGCACTTTGCCTAGAAGTAACACCTACCACGGTGCTGAACAGCATTTCTGTTACTAACTCTTCACAGAGAAGAATAGCAACGTCCCTGAAATCACAGCACAACTCAGGCCATGTCTAGACAACGAAGGTTCATCAGCATAACGACGTAAACACCATATGAAGAAGTCAAAGTCTTGGCTAACTTCAGTATGTTTCCGAAGCCCCACAACAAGCAGTCGTGCCAAGAGAAAAGAGAGCTGCTGGTGGTGCCAGCCCCCTTCTTCAGGCAGGACGGCTGGGGTACCTGCAAAACGAGGGCTCTCTCCAGGCTTTCGCTGTATCAGCACCACTGCCTCTGCCAACACAGTGACAGAGACGCAGCACCTAACACAGAACTGCTTTACCCAGGAATCCCAGCCCATTCTCTAGCAAGAAGCTCATATGTCCTAAGTCACTGGAGTACCCAGAGCTACAAAAACATTTCTGCTTCCCCCACTGCTCTTAGGGAGACTTGAGAAATCAGAATTTTTACAGCAGAAGACAAGGGAGGGATTGTGTGCAAACGTGTATTCTGCATCCACCCTGGAGCTTGTGTACGAAGTACTCACTATGTGGAATGACACCCATTTTTGCAACTAATTACAAACAGACTTTAGGACGAGCTTGTTTACAACCCAGCAATAAATGCCAAACTCAATTTCAGGTTTCACAGTAGTTCTGTCTTCTGTTGCAGAGAACAGGGCCAGTGACACACTCATTTGCATGAGATGTCATTCTGACTTTGAAGAAGCCGCCTCCAATAGCAGTCGGATTGCTTTTTGCTAACAGAGAGAGATCCCAAGTTGCTCTCTATATTCAATTTCTCTCAGTTCCCTTGAAAGTGCCTATAAAATTCCTAATTACAACGAACACAAGGGCCTAGAACTCCAGCTACACTACATTTTTTCTTTCCTGAGTGCACAGGAGGAAGAGCGAGAGCAAAGTGCGTCAGCAGAATTTTAACTTGCACCAGTTCGTAGCACACTCAAAGGGATTGTTTTGCTAGGGACGAGTTACTGGAACGCAGCATGCTCGCTCCTACCAACCTCTCCAGCCCGCGCTAAGCGGAGACCACTTAGAGCAAACGCACTCCGTGATTTCCCAAGTTTGCTCTTCAAGCTAGTTCTCCAAAACTCCTGTGGGTCATTTGAGCAGCGTAAAGCAGCCTCAGTCATGACGCATCTGCGCCGGAATTTTCTCCGCTAATCGCTACTGTGTTGTTGTGAGACGGAAGTTTCCAGCTCCTTAGGCTTGTTCCACAATACAGCATCCTGAATGCAGAAGGAGAAACAGGTACAATAAAAAGCTTTTCTACACTTGCAGTTTTCAGAGATGTAAACAAAGTGCTGGAGTTTTTATTCTCGAAAACCTTTTGATGCAACCACGCTGGCGTGCTGCCTTCAAAAATTACTACTTCAAAGGGAGTCCGTGGTTTGGTTTGGTTTTTCCTCTTTTTATGTGACCAAAGGCAAGACCTTAGAAGGAAATATTTCCATTTATTCCACGGTCAAGTACTTAGGTTCCAAGACTCTGCTGTACCCCAGGGTGGATACTGTTTGTAGACAGCACTTAAATACCTCAGACAGTACTTTTATCCTAAAAAGTCCAAGAAAGGATGTTTTTGTTTTGCTACTTTAAAAACATGTTTTGAAAGAAAAATGTTTAAGTGTGATGCATCCAGTAAATAGTCCAAAAACGAGCTCCTCTTGAAGAAGACCAAGTGCATCTCAAGAAATATGTTGCTTGCAAGAGTGACTTACTGCTCCCTGTTGAAAAGGCTCTTGGTTTTCAGCATTGTTTGCATTTTGATTTGCACTGCCCTCCGCTCATGCATTAAGAGCAGAGCGAATAGCTCCCCAGGAACAGAGTAATTATTATTGACATCAAAGCTGTGTCCTGTCTCTTGCCCTGTCTTCAGCAGCATACAGCAACAGATGCTCCAGAGAACAGCGCTATTTAGAGAAGTCATCTATGAAACAGCTTAATGGTAAAATTCCCATCTTCTTCCACCAGTAATCGCTCACCTTTGACTTGCAGCTTTAGGATCCATCTCAAACATGTTACTGGAGAAATAAGCAACTGGAAAAGACTTTCACCCTAACGTTTGGAAACCTGTTTTGGCCCAAACACTACACAACCCAGCTGCTCTGGCCTGAATGATGCACGATGCCCACAACTCTGAGTGGTGCTATTAAACCATAGCGGTGCAAACAGCTAGAGCGTGGGTGAAGCAAAAGCTCTAAGAGGCCATGCTGCTTTCAGACATGTGCCAGAGCTGATCATGGTACGGAGTTAACATTTTCTCTCCAAGGTTGGTTTACTAGCAGACAGCAAGGTAACTGAGAGCACTTCGAACACTCTGACACTGCTTTAATGATTAATAATTACTCTGCCGGAGAAGTAACAGCTCAATTTAGAAGTGATGTTTCCATTTCTTGTTGTTCCGTTACATAAACTCCCCCATTAGGTTTTGCTGAAGAGGCGCCCCTCTGCCGCAGTGTCTTTGTTTACAGACCCGTTTGCCTGAAGAACAACAACCGCAGGCTAGTCTTCCCAACAGATCCGAAGGAAAACCAACCCACTGAAGGACTTCAAAAACTCACGGCACCTCTAACAGGGTCCTGGTCCCTTAGCACTGATGGCCTAAAAGGGACTGATGCATGGTACAGTCCCAGGAGCTTTGCCCTCAGCCTATGCCCTGCCATCACCAGGCACCACACTTTTGTCATCATGCACCACCAGAAACAGACAGAAAACCATGAAGCAAAGACATTTGGGTAAGAAAACCTTCCTATTCATGTAGTTTATGGAGCATTATGACAACTTGTAAAATAGCTTAGCAACGCAGGAATTGCTTTGCATACAACTGATAACATCTCCCAGGCGAGCATGAAACGATCCGTTAACGTTGTAGGAAAGGAGGAGAGGTAGGCACCAGATGAAATGAAGCGTCCTGC